GTGTGTGAGTGAGATGCAAGATTCTGTAAGTAATGTGTCAATAGTGTCGCTGTGTATTATGTTTGTGTGTGAGTGAGATGCAAGATTCTGTAAGTAATGTGTCAATAGTGTCGCTGTGTATTATGTTTGTGTGTGAGTGAGATGCAAGATTCTGTAAGTAATGTGTCAATAGTGTTGCTGTGTATTATGTTTGTATGTGAGTGAGATGCAAGATTCTGTAAGTAATGTGTCAATAGTGTTGCTGTGTATTATGTTTGTATGTGAGTGAGATGCAAGATTCTGTAAGTAATGTGTCAATAGTGTCGCTGTGTATTATGTTTGTGTGTGAGTGAGATGCAAGATTCTGTAAGTAATGCGTCATAGTATCGCTGTGTGTTGTGTTTGTGTGTCTGAGTTTGAGATGCAAGATTCTGTAAGTAATGCGTCATAGTATCGCTGTGTGTTGTGTTTGTGTGTCCGTGCGTATTTGATTCACAGGGAGGTTGAGACTTTGGTGGCAGTGATTGCCTTCACAGCCATCTCAGGTCTTTGCCAGGGAGGTTGAGACTTTGGTGGCAGTGATTGCCTTCACAGCCATCTCAGGTCTTTGCCTTGGTACTGGTAATTTCTCGTCTGTAGCCGACCTGGTTCTGTCCCAAAAAATAACTGTATAGTCCATTTATCTATCACTATCAGACACTGCTAACAGATTATGCTTTTTTGTGTTGTTTTTTTCTACAAATCTTGTAAGTGGATGGTTGGCATGTGTGGTTTGCTCCTTCTTTCCTATCGAACTACAAATCTTGTAAGTGGATGGTTGGCATGTGTGGTTTGCTCCTTCTTTCCTATCGGACATCTGTTCTCCTTATCTGTCCTTTCTTTTTTTTTTGTTACTCTCTTATAGCACTTCTAATCTTCGATTGTGTTGCAAGTGCTGTAAAACTCTTACTTAAGCTTTCTTTTTTTTTTGTGCTACTCCGTTGTAACGCCTCTAATCTTCGGCATTTATAATATATTACCTAATTGTGTTGCAAGTGCTGTAAAACTCTTAATACAACTTGAAAAAAAAACTTTGTTCTTCTGTCACACGGACTGACCAATTTATTTCTGTTATGGTACCTCATTTACTAACGCTCATGCCGAAATCCCGGGTCTGCTCATTGAAAGGAGATAACCGGAGTCCATCAAGTGTGCTTTACCTTTATGGCGGCCATAACATTTCTTCTGTCAAGTCCCTTGTAGTGGTTGGTTGGCGGGTGCCCTGATGTGGTTTGCTTCTTCTTTTCTATCAAACATCTATCGTCTTTTATCTCCCCTACTTCTTTTTTTGTGTTTGTTACTCTCTTGTAACTCCTCTAATCTTCGGTACTTCTAATATGACCTTTGTTGCAAGTGCCGTAAAACACTTACTAAAACAAAGTCCCTTGTTAGTGTGGAGCATTCAGCCTGGGTAATTTTTTTTCGAACCCATTTTGTACTGATGGTTAAATTTAATATCATATTTTCGTTCTCCTGGTTCAGAACTTGACCGGGTCAATTCCCGAGAAAATACAAAATAATTTGTAGACCAGTTAATTTGCCTTTGGCGAAAAGGCACTCCAACGAACGGGGATATGGTGTGGTATTATGAAAATGAGCACAAGGTCTCTTCTTCTTGTCAGCTACTGTCCGGAGGAGCGGATGCAGATGTTTGGTCTGAATGTTCCTTTGACTTTGAACCGTTCTTCATTTAAAATTGCTTCATGTAAACATTCTTTTAATTTTTATCAGGAGTGGGGTGGGGACTCCAAACATCTCCACCTTTACTGTTCTCTTGTCAGTAATGTCAGATCTAAGCTATGCCTGATTTTTGATTGCGGGTGGTTGGCAGGTGCTCTGGTGTAGTTTGCTCCTTCTGTTCTATCAAACATCTTTCATCCTTATCTCTCCCCCTTTTTTGTATTTAATTTGTTACTCTCTTGTAACACTTCTAATCTTCAGCACTTATATGACCTTATTGTGTTGCAAGTGCCGTAAAACTCTTAACGAAACTACAGAAACAACTGATTTTTGTTGCAGCCAGGGTTCCAATCATAGACCCACCTATGACGAACATGATACAAATTTTTGTTTAAATATTATAAAGTAATTAAAAGCTACATCTTTTTGGGGGGGGGGGGGGGGGGGGGGGGGGACATCAAACTCGAAGCAAACGTATCAAAAGTAACAATGACTCACAGTGACTCTTTCTTACCGGCACTGGATTTCAAAGATCACAAAATGAGACGTATTTTTACCAATATTGCATCACGCATTTCATTTGTATTTTCTTATCACAAAAACTAAAAAGGAACGGTAAACCGTCAGTTAGTTTGTACTGAACCTTTAGTTAAAAAGGCTTGTCGCCGCTTTTTTAAGATGGGGAGTTGGTGACCAGGGCAAACATGTGGGTCCTCAAGCATGCTGAGTTAGTTGGTGCTCTGCCGTAGTTTGCTCCTTCTGTCCTATCAACAAACATATATCTTCCTTCTCTTCCCTCTTTTTTGTGTTTGTAACTCTGTCCTCAGAGAAATTCGCGCCCGCAACCCGCAAGTTGCGCGCGCAACTTTTGCCGTCAGCGCAACTTTTGCGCAACTTTTACGATTTTCGTGAATTCGCTCATTTCAGCCAATTTCCCGCAAAATTCGGAAAAATAATAAAGAAATTTAATTAAAAACACCGAAATTTTCTTCCACGACTAAAAATAACGTCGCCAAGGGGGACAATTCGCTTCTTTACACTTTGCACTAGCCTACGGGTGCTCGCCGCCGCCCAGTGACCCGGGCCGGGTCAGGTCGGGTCGGGACATAGATGTACACCAACACTATAAAAGGAGATAACTCTATGGGTCGGGATGATCGCCAGACTCGTCGCCTGAAAACAACGTGTTTGTTTTGAAACAACGAGACGGGCGCGATCGACTTGAGCCACAATAGCTGCTTTGCACCATCAATCTAGCGAGCAGACCGACCCAATAGTCTTGTTTGGACTAGTCTAGCTAGAGTAAATCAATCGTAAACACGGTCGTCTGATTACTTAGCTTGCTTTGTTCCGTAGCACCAGGGTAGATCTAGATCTAGAGCTAGTATTAAAATTTGTGAAAGACTTTATATCTTAGGCTAAGGAGGGTAGATCTAAAATGGATCGATTCATCCAGAAAACCCCTAAAGGGAAGGGGACGGGGTCCTTTGACTCCTGTAAAAATTAAAGTGTAAAAAAAGGGGGGGGGGGGGGGGGTAACCAATGTAAGATTACACTTTTGTAAGGTGAAAAAAATAATCAAGGAAAATGGCAACGTAACTTTTTTGTTAATAGCATAAAAAGAGAGTAATTCTACACTATTCACTTTGACTTAAGAGTTAAGATCGAGCGGTAATCACTGCATTGTGGCGATACAGTGGACCTCGAGCGGCAAGCACGATATATGTTATCTCGCACTTTATACACTGGTAAATATCTGGGCTACATGACATGTAGATCTAGTCTAATTTTGATTACACCTGTGCGGTTAAAGTGGTAAAATGACACCGTAAGTTTTTCTGGAATTTCCGATATTTTTATAGCGTATTGAATATTATGTCACATGTGTGTGTATGCATGTTTTTCATGAATACCATAATTAATAATTTAAAA